TAAATTTAGCGTGTGTGTGTAGAATGTAGAGCCCTCTAAAATGTAGGGCTCAGGGCAGTGGCCTTTTTCGAGGTGAAGTTTCCTCACCTCTAGGGGGAAACTTCACCTCTAGGGACTTTTGCTTCCTTTCTGTCTTGGCCAACCACCCTCATAGTCCCACTGTATCTGTCTGAATTTTTTGTTGCAAACGACAGAAATCAACTCTGTTTAACTAGAGTAGAAGAGGAATTTATTGGAAAGACATTGAGTGGCTCTTGGAATCAACAAGAAGTTTCAGGACTCTGGCCCGGAACATGGAAGCTAAGTGAGGCTGGGAAGCTGAGAACACAGTGAGGTCACGCCAAAGGGCAGTCTAGTTAACATATTGCCTCAAGTGCTGCCCCCACCGTGAGACTTGGGCTCTGCAGATGTCATGAATCATTTCCAGTGACTCCTGTGGTTTCTTGTCACTCTCTTCAGATCTGAGCACCTTGGCAGAAGGGCCTAGTTGGCTGAGCGTAGGTCGTATGCCCTTGTTCTCAGTGATGGCGGATAGAGAGAGGAAAGGTCTGGCACCCCTTGGCTCCCTGTTCAGCAGCATGTGGGGACTCGCTTCTCACCAAAGCACACAAAATGTGAATGTGTCCAAATGGGAAGGCAGGCAGCTGTGTGGCAGCCAAACAAAAACAAAGACAAATGTCCCCAGTCTTATTGTGGGTCTTGTCACCAGCAGCAGCTGCAACACCTTTGAAATCATTAGTTCAGTCTACCTTTGGGTTACGACCTATCCTGCTAGCTTTTTGCTTAAGGACAAACATCCCTTGCAATAGCTCTTTATCCTCATGGAGACCTCTCATCCATGAGCAACCTTCCTTCTCTCTAGCCGTCTGCTCCATCTGTCTTTACATCCTTATCCAGCTTGGAGTTCATAGCTGATTGACCATTTCTATCACTCGCCAACCTTTCCTTCCATTGCATGCATCTGATAAGTCCCCAACTCTGGAGAGAATATGATCATCTATCCAGGTCTATACTAGAGTGAGTTATTCTTTTTTTTTTTTTTTATTGAGACAGAGTCTCACTTTGTCACCCTTGGTAGAGTGCTGTACTGTCATAGCTCACAGCAACCTCCAACTCTTGGGCTCACATGATTCTCTTGCCTCAGCCTCCCTAGTAGCTGGGACTACAGGCACCCACCAAAACACCTAGCTATTTTTTTTGTTTGTTTGTTTAGCAGGCCCAGGCCAGGTAGGTTACCCACCAGCCCCAGAGCCTGTGGCTGATGCCCTAACCACTGAGCTATAGGTGCCCAGTTGAGTGAGTTATTCTTTTTTTTTTTTTTTTTTTTGAGACAGAGCCTCAAGCTGTCCCCCTGGGTAGAGTGACGTGGCATTACAGCTCACAGCAACCTCCAACTCCTGGGCTCAAGCGAGTCTCCTGCCTCCGCCTCCCAAGTAGCTGGGACCACAGGCGCCCGCCACAGCGCCCGGCTATATTCTTTTATTTTATTTTATTTTTGTATTGAATGGTAACTATGTACATTAATGTACTTCTGGGACACAGTGTGGTGTTTTCATACACAATCCGAAACACTTCCATCAAACTGGTTAACATAGCCTTCATGTCATTTTCTTAGTTATTATGTTAAAATGTTCATATTCTACTCTTAGAAAGATTCACTTGTACCCTTGTAAGATAAACCACAGAAGTGATCCCTCCAATCTCCCTCCACCCATTCCCCAGAGTGAGTTATTCTTGAAAGCTTTCTTTCCCTCACCCTTAACGTGTGACCCATCATCAAGTACTATTCATTCTAATGTCAAAATCTGCATCTTCCAGATCTTTCCATGTCCACTGCTATTCCCCTAGATCAAGCTGCTGCTATCTCTTCTCTGAAGTATTGCCACAATTCCCTAATTGGTCTCTGTTTTCACTTTTTTTTTTTTTTTTTAATACCCCAGGCCAGTCTTTTCTAGCCTGTTAGACATCCTCATAAAGTGCAGCTCACACCATTCGAGCTTTTCTGTCTCTTTTCCATTCAAAGAGAAACACAAAATTCTCACAGCACAGTAACTCACAAGGTCTTGCATAACTTGGCTTGTAGAGATTTGCAAGCATGTTAATAGCCCATGGCCCACCCGTTCTCTCCCCTTTGCTCCACTGGAGTCTCATCCACATTCTTTCAGTTCATAGACAATGTCAAAGGCCTTCATCCTATTGTTTCTTCTGCCTGGAATGTTCCTTCCTTAATTGGTTGTCTGGCTTGCTTCTACCCATCCTTACTTCTTACCAGAAATATTCCTTTTCAGGGAGGTTCTCTTTGATCCCCCAAAGTCAAACAATTTTCTCTGTAATTTAGTCCTCTCGTGGCATGTAGTATTCTCTCCCAGAGCGCTTTGGTTTGTGTGATTTCATCGTTTAATGCTCAACACGTAAACAGGATGAAAACTTCATGAGAGGCAGAAGTGTTTTTTTGTCATTTCCTTCTGTAGCCCCCAAACAGTACCTGAACCTAGAAATATTTGTGAATGACTAACTCAAAGAGATAGGCTTGCAACAGGGTGTTGGTCGTAAAACCTTTTTTAAAAAAACAATTTCCTATAGACTCTTTCAGCCTAAAGTAATTTCCTTCAGCTCCTAAATGCATCAGGTTGAAGAAAGAATCTGCATCGTTATCTCTGTTCCCCTGCCAGGATGGGATTTAGGATTCAAATGCTAAAACATAAAAGGAAGTAATAAAATCGCATAGGGAAAGAAATCCTGAATAGGGAATACTCCCCCGAGTGGCTACACATTTTCACTGAAAGCAGTCATCTCAGTGTGCAACTATTAAGGCTTGAGTTACTTACATATCTTTAATCCTCTTACTTTCTAATCAAGATCATTCTAATAGCTTTGCATTTAGGCTCCCAACTGCATTATACATTCACAAACCATTTCTTTTTTTTTTTTTTTGAGACAGAGCCTCAAGCTGTCCCCCTGGGCAGAGCGCCATGGCACTACAGCTCACAGCAACCTCCCACTCCTGGGCTCAAGCGAGTCTCCTGCCTCCGCCTCCCAAGTAGCTGGGACCACAGGCGCCCGCCACAACGCCCGGCTATTTTTTGGCTGCAGCCGTCATTGTTGTTTGGCGGGTCCGGGCTGGGGATTCGAACCCGCCACCTTAGGTGTACGTGGCTGGCGCCCCAGCCCGTTGAGCTATAGGCGCCGAGCCACAAACCATTTCTTTGTCAACACTGCATTGGTACAATTATAATCTCCCAGGGAGAAAAAAGCATTCTTCTTTATCCTAATATAGTTTATGTCCATCAAAGTTGCATTTTTAAGTTTTCCAGGCTGATTCCTTTACTTAATAGTAAATGTAAGATGAATAGCAATGAAAAGAAATCATTTATATGTCTGAATGTTATCTTCTACAATCTTCTCTGATTCAATTAGTTCCTATGTAACTACTTAGAAGAGGCATGTATAGTTTGTGGATTCTTTTTCATATTTTGTCTCCTTTTACTGCTCACTTCTCAGCCATTTCACTCTTTACTAGCAATGCCATAGTTAGATGAAAAGATGTAAAAACAGCATTTATAAGCTTTGCTTTCTGTTTGGGAAAATATATATCCTAGTACAGGCTACGTTGTAAGATTTGGCTAAAGAAAAAAGGATTTTTGATGTGAAATAAGATTTCAATTACATGGAAGCTAGTTGTGCATTTATTCATTAAGAAATGTCAAACAATGGGTGGTGCCTGTGGCTCAAAGGAAATAGGGCGCCAGCCCCAAATGCCGGAGGTGGCAGGTTCAAACCCAGCCCCGGCCCAAAACTGCAAAATAATAATTAAAAAAAAAAAGAGTTTAACAACAAACTATCAGTTGTTTGTCTGAAAAAGACATAATTTGTCTTCTTCAATCTTTCTTTTGCCACAAATTGGAATGCTAAGATTTCACCTTTTCCCATCAGTATATCACTTGCTTTACTTAAAAAAAATTGCAAGTCATTGGTGAAAACGTTCTGTTACACATAGGTTAGAACATATTGGGAAAATACAAGCAGAGAAGCTGAAACGAATGTGGATACTGAAGTACATGGGAGGTAACAATTTTTTCAGTGGTTAAAGAGATTCTTGTGGAAATAAAGATTATTTGCTTACTTACACTTAACAGGGTTTTCCTACACAACTTATCACCAGTAGCTAGAACAAGCCCAACAATAAAAATTTACATTCTCATATGGTAGACCACTATTGTTGCTTTAGTTTGAGAATGCCAATTAACTCTGAGGAATTAATGAAATTACAAGAGAATGGCAAAGTTTTCTTCTTGGGCCTCCCCGACCCCCCCTCCGATTTGTATTCAGATTTGTGAAACAGTGCCAGAAGCTTGGCATTTATTAAAAAGCTGGAGTTCTGGCCTCAGTGTATGGAGGAGTTGCAGAACTTTAAACACCCAGGAATATCGCAAACGCATTTATCACGCCACCTTGGTATGCGTGATTCAGTTTTTATTCTCGGAGTGTAGCGGGGCTGAGCCTCCTCTAGAGCAATCCGACCAAAGGCTGTGCAAGGCGTTTATATCTGCAACCCTACAGCTGCTATTTCCATCCCAAGCAAAGGCCCGGCCTGCTAGGTATTTGGAGGTGGAAAGGCCCTGTAGGCCCGGCCAGCGCGAGAAAAACACCTTCAAAAAGCTGGCCAGAGCCACAGCAGCCATCAGCCTGGTTCTGAGCGAATCTCCAGGAGCTGATCGGCTCCTCGTCGTCTTGGTAACCAGACTGGGAACGCGCCTGCGCAGACCTAACTCCTTTATCACGTGAGGCCGGGCAGGGGGCGGGGCCAAAAAATGCGCCCCCCGGACTCGTCGCGCCACACCTCTCAACGCCTGGTCAGACGAGGTGGGACGAACCTCTGTCCTATTGCGTGAGGGTGGCTCACAGCTCCCGCCCCTTTTCGCTCTGCTTTCTGGCGTCTGATCCCTCGCACCACGTGTCTTCCTGGCCGCTCCCACTTCACCCCTTTCTAACTGTCTGTGGGAAGCAGCTGTAAAATGTCGTGAGGTACGCCGCTGCTTTACGGCTGCCTCTCCCGGACGCGAGCCCCGGAGCGCCCACCGTCTTGAGCTGTGTCTTTGAACGAGTCGGGTCAGCTGAGAGTGAGGGGCCCGGTCCGCCGCCATCGTCTCCACAGCGCCTGTTCCAGCCCCTGGCGATGTGAGCTCGTGGAGGGATTGGTGCCCCCTGGCCCGGGATTGAGACGGGCGACAGGTGCCTGTGAAGCGGGCGGGTGCTGGGGGCCAGCAGGATGGAGGAAAGCATGGAAGAGGAGGAGGGGGGCAGTTATGAGGCGATGATGGACGACCAGAACCACAACAACTGGGAGGCCGCAGTGGACGGCTTCCGGCAGCCCCCACCACCTCCGCCGCCCCCCTCGTCGATTCCAGTCTCTGCCCGAGAACCTCCGGGGGTACAGCTGCTGGCGGTGCCCGCGGTCTCCGTGGACAGGAAAGGACCCAAGGAGGGGCTTCCTATGGGGCCGCCGCCACCGCCGGAGGCCAATGGGGTGATCATGATGTTGAAGAGCTGCGACGCGGCCGCTGCCGTGGCCAAGGCGGCCCCCGCCCCCACCGCCAGCTCCACCATCAACATCAACACCTCCACCTCCAAGTTCTGTGAGTCCAGCCTTTCCCCAGCACTCTTGGCTTTTCTCCTCCCCGCTCGGACGCCGAATTCACTCCCTTTTAGAGCAGCTTGGTTTCCTTTGTTTCAGGCCTGGGTCTCTTCTCCTTCTCCTTCTCCCCGCCCTACCTCCCCCTGGTTTGGTGTCTGCGGCCAGCGCCTAAGCAGCCCAGGCTTCTTGTATTACCTGGCCTAGAGAGAAAGCCAGGTATGCATGCAGCCCCAAGTTCTCCAACGAACTCGATCCTTATCACAACTGGCTATCTCTCAACTTTAGGAAGCTCTTTTCTCATCTGTCTCCCCTTAAAGTTTCACCCCCAGAGCTAGGGCGAAAATAGGGCTGCCTGAGTTTCATTAGGGAACAGCCTTCAGTCTTTTTTTTTTTTTTGCAGCCAGAGAAAAGAAATCTGGCAACTTGTGTTTTCGTGCTTTTAGCCAGGCTGTGGTAAGTCAGGAACTTGAAAGTTGACCCATATCTACATCTCGTTCTTTATTTTCTGTGCACACCTTTGCATCCTATTAGGGAAATGTATGAGTTGCTTCCTAGTGCACTGGCAACTGCAACATCGTTTTGAAGTTAATGCATAAAATCACTTTTTGGAGCCTACACTCATAAGAATAAGCCATTCAGCATGTGGCCAAACCGAGGATTCTGTTGAATGTTAAACTTTGTTATGTTAGTGATCTGCCTTGACGTTCACTTGCTGGCAAAAAGATTTAAGACCAAAATTTGTAATTCCCCCCAACCAGGATGTATGTTTCCATAGCTAGGAAAATAATTAGATTTGAGTGTTTTGTTTTATGTTTAGTTTTTAGTTTTTTGTTGATGGGGCAGTGAAAATGAACGTGACTGTCCCAGCCAGGTTTTTCTCTCCTATTATTAACTGCAAGTTTTGAATGTCACCTGGTAAAGCAAGTGGAGACTTCATTTCTAGTTACTAATTTTGTCATGCTGTACCAGTAAGTATCCAATTAGCTGTGCAGAGAAAATATTTGCCTTGAAAAAGATGAATATTCACAATTTACACAAATTTGTGTGTATGTGTGTGGGAATTGCACTTATTCTCCTTTGCCTTTAAGATACTACTGCTTTAGTCAAAGACATCGTAGGTATGATTGGCAAGATTTGTATATGATTTTTCCTTATTGTGCAAACCTGAGAATAATATATTGTCTAGTTTGTGTGTTGAATGCTATGTCCAGAAACCAGACCTTGTACAAAGTGGTTGGGTCACTTAACCTATATGCCACAGGAAGCTTGCTTTAGTGCTTAAAGTTCATTTGAAGAGTTCAAAAAACAGGCTCAAGTTAAGGGCAGAGATTAGTGAAACTGGGAACAAAAGAAAGATTTGCCAAATCAAAAGATTGTTCTTTGAAAAGATTAATAAGCTAGATAGACGCTTGATAAGATTGATCAAAAAGATGCAAATAAATGAAAAATAGAAATTACCTACCAATATCAGATTGAAGAATATTATGAAAAGTTATAGGTTAATAGATTCGAAAGCCTAGGTGAAATATATAATTCTTAGAGAACTGCTTGAGCTCAGGTGTTCAAGACCAGCCTGAACAAAAGCAAGACTCTGTCTCTAAAAATAGCTGGGTGTTGTGGAGGGTACCAGTAGTCCCAATTACGTGGGAGGCTGAGGCAAGAGGATAGCTTGAGCCCAAGATTCTGAGGTTGCTGTGAGTTATGCCACAGCCCTCTACTGAGGGCAACAAAATAAAAATAGAAAAAACAAAACTACAAAGTTGAGAGAATCTCTAGAAATTAACCCAAGAATACATAAGACCTTTAAGGAGAAAACTTTTTTTTTTTTTTTTTTTTTTTGAGACAGAGCCTCAAGCTATCCCCCTGGGTAGAGTGCCGTGGCATTACAGCTCACAGCAACCTCCAACTCCTGGGCTCAAGCGAGTCTCCTGCCTCCGCCTCCCAAGTAGCTGGGACCACAGGCGCCCGCCACAACGCCCGGCTATTTTTTTTTTGGTTGCAGCCGTCATTGTTGTTTGGCGGGTCCGGGCTGGGGATTAAAACCCGCCACCTTAGGTGTACGTGGCTGGCGCCTTAGCCGGTTGAGCTGTAGGCGCCGAGCCAAGGAGAAAACTTTAAAAAGAAACTAGAAGATGGTCTGCATAAATGGTACATTTTTCCATGCTCTTGGATCAAATTACCTATTATAAGAATGTCAGTTTTCTTCATTTTAATCTATAAGTTAAATTTAGATGCCATGAAAATTACATTTGGTTTTTTTCCCAAACTCAATAATATAAATATGGAATTCATATAGTGGGTGGAAAAAAGTTTGTGAATAACTAAATCTTAAAGATTTTTTGAGAGGATGCTTGCCTTATCAGCAACTAAGGTAATATTTCAAGGCTGTAGTAATAAAAACTGGTATAAGCACAAGAACAGAAAAATAGGCCAAGGGAACAAATTAGAGGACAGAGACTTACCTATATATGTATATTTTGGAACTTAAGATAAAGGTGGTTGAGCTGGGCACTGTGGCTTGGGCCTATAATTCCAGCTGCCTGGGAAACTGAGGCAGGAGGATTGATTGAGCCCATAGAGAGTTTCGAGACAAGTATGGGCAACATAGCAAAAAGCCTATCTCTATTCAAATGGTAGATAAAGGTATTATCACAAATCACTGGAGAAGGGAGTCATATGTTGTAGGGGAGAGTGGCTCACTGAATGGAGAAAAAACAAATTTAACATATGAACAGGATGGACATGGAAGGAATTAAGACCTAAATGTGAAAAGAAAAACTATCAAGTTAATAGAAAATGTTGAAGAACCTCTTTCCCTAGATACAGGGAAGGACTTACTAAAGCTTCAAAAGCTTATAAAGGTGAAAAATTAATGATTTTGATCATATAAAAATCAAGGATTTTCATATAGAAAAGCACAGATGAAAGAATGAGGACAATATAATATTTACAATTCCTGAAATTGACAAAGGATTATTACATGATTAGACAAGAGACTACTATTCATCTACAGTAAGAGAGCAACATTTGCAGAAAGATAGGCAAAGGATAGTAATAGGTTGTTTACAGAATAGGAAATCCTAACAAGCATAACAACAGATGAAATTATTACTAATCAGAGACATGCACGTTAAAACAGTAATGGAACAGTAATGGAATGTCTTTTTTCACCTATTAGGCTGACAAAAATTAGAAAGCTGAAATAGTGCCAAATGTAGGTAGGGATATGGAGATATAGGAAAACTCACACTTGAAGCTGGAGTGTCGATGTAGCCCTGAGTATGACAGTCAAGGTATGCTCAGGACTTTTAAGTTGAAAATGGCTTTGAGTGGTCTCTGTTTTTGGAATAAGAGAAAAAAAAGCATTTGTTAGCTTGGTGGATACATACTAGGTGCCAGGGATGATGTTGTTAATTTGAGCCAGCAGAGAGACCATGTTTGGAACAGCAATTAAAATTGGAGTCATCCTCGATTTGATTTACTAAAATCCGCAGTCATTCTCTGCTCTGGGTAAGTAGGCTAGTGAAATTGAAATGTCTTAAAAATCACCGCACCTGGCTAGTTCCTTAAGTTTTGCGAAGGTAGGGCCTAGCTGTTCTTGAACTTGAGACTCCTGCTTTAGTCTTTTAAAGTGTTAGGATTATGAGTGCGAGCCACTATGCCTGGCTAATAAATCTACTCTTTATTTAGTCAGGATGCATTTCTCCCCATGTGTTTTTTTTTTTTTGTTTTTTTTTTGTTTTTTTTTTGTAGAGACAGTTTCACTTTATGGGTTGTGGCGTCACACTGCTCATAGCAGCCTCCAGCTCCTGGGTTTAGGCGATTCTGAAGCCTCAGCCTCCAAAGTGGCTGGGACTGTAGGTGCCCACCACAACTCCTGGCTATTTTTCTTTTCTTTTCTTTTGTTTTCTTTTTTTTTTGAGACAGAGTTTCCCTTATTAACCCTCAGTAGAGTGCTGTGGCATCATAGCTCATAGCAACCTATTTTTCTTTCTGTTGTAGTCTGGCCAGGGCCGGGTTTGAACCTGACACCCTACGTAGGGCCAGCGCCAGCGCCCTACCCACTGAGCCACAGGTGCCGCCTGCATTTCTCCACTTGTTAAGGAATTTCTCTTGTCCTAGTCCTTTCCCTCATCTTCCTTCTCTGCTCTTCTAGCTTTTCTTTATTTTCCTTTCTTCTTTTTTCTTCCCTTTCCATTTCCTTCATTTGGCACCTCTTCTTCTTCCTCTTCCCATTTATTCAATAAAGTGTACTCATTTTAGGTGTGTAGTTCGAGTTTTTTCATTTTTTTCCAGACATCAATGGGCATCAGAATGTAGTTTGAGTTTTAACCTATATATAACTGTCTTGTCCGGGATTTGATTTTACCCTAGTTGTAAGTTAAAATCTACCCTGTTCCTGTATAGGTTTGAGTTCTTATCTGAAATGCTTGGGACTTTTTAGATTTTGGATTTGGATTTTTTTTTTTTTTTTGATTTTAGAATACTTGTATTTTACTTACTGGTTGAACATCTCAAATCTGAAAATCTGTAATGTTCCAGTGGATATTTTCTTTGACCATCACATTGGCATTCAAAATGTTTCTGATTTTAGAGTTTCGTGTTCTTGCATGTCTCAGTTGTTTATTTCTTTTTTTATGATTGAATAATAAAGTAATAGTCTTTTTTTCTTTGATGTACCACATTTATCTGCTTATTGTTCATCTGTTGGTAATCATTTGGATTGTCTGTAGTTTGGGCTATCATAAATAAAGCTGCTGTAAACAACCATGTGCAAGATTTTGTATGGACATAGATTTTCATACAGGTGGAATTCCTTGTTCAAATATTATTTATATGCTTAACTTTACGAGAAACTGCCAACATGGTTTTTTTTTTTTTTCTTTAGAGACAAGAGTCTTACTTTGTCACTCTTGGTAGAGTGCTGTGGCATCACACCTCACAGCAACCTCCAGCTCCTGGGCTTAGG